ATCTCATTGTTGTTGTTGACAGTATACTTGTTCCATACTGGAGCAAACAGGTCAACGAGCTCCCTAAACACCTTGTGGTCGACCCCACAGCAATTGAGGAGAGCTTGATCAACTCCAGAGTGGAACATGTGGAGGAAGGGGGAACAAGCATATCTCCTGATTGCAATCCTTGGCGTTCTCCTGTCCCTTCGACGTCTCTCTTCTGGAGACAGTTTGCTTTTGTAACTTCTGTGCTGCCCCTCCTCTGCTTTCAACTGGAGGTACCAGTACCATATGATCACTTCCACTACTCCCATTGTCGATGTTGCCTTTTGTTTTGCTGGAAGGAAACTGTTGTCGATTAGTGTGGTGTTTGTCAGATGATAAACCCTAAATCAAGCCGCTCATGCACTACTGGTATTAAGTACAAAATGAGTAGAGCGTGAGTGGCTTGATGTACCGGTTCCATAACGCATAAACTCATTTCAACTTATTTTCTACTGGAAATAAGTAGGAATGAGTTTATGTCTTACTCTAGTTGAGTATCGAAAATTTCATGTTTTACTTAGTACCAAATACCAAAGGGCGCGCATTTTGAGTCTTTTTAGTCTTTACGTTGGAGAATAGTTAAGATTCCAGATTCCAAAAAAGACTGCAATAAAGTCCGGCTTGCTCTCGGTCTGTCCGTTGAATATTTGATTCCTGTTCATAAAAGTAATAAAAATGCCAGATTTACGAGTTTAGCACATCTATAATATCGGGAATCACCCATTATGAACAATGACCACTATCACAAAGTACCTATGTACGTACGTACCGTACTTCGAATCTTTTTTGAGATGGATGCCATTTTTTGTCGACCCAGTTCGTTCAAAAAGGATGAACCTCTGAACGGCGGTATGTGAAGCTGCATCCTCGGTTTCGAATTGGAGAGGCACGGGTTTCTTGCTTCTGAAATCGCCAAAATTGATGGAAGAAGACGAAAAATACGCAGTGAATTTTCAGTGGGTTCCTTTTCGATGTATGTCTCTATTGGGATCTAAAAATATGAATTTATGTCGAAATGACTATTCACTGCAGACATGGTGGTCGCAGAAACAAAGTTAAAGTTTTAATCAACTTACAAAGCCTAATACAACCACATCTAAAAATTGCGTAAAGCCTCTTAATTTTCCAATAAACAGAGAGGCAATATATATACACATATTTCGCTTGCTTTGGGGTAATACCTGTCTCGTCCAAGACTGGCAAAAAGGTCAAAATATTGTACTTCAGTGCAAGTTAATAGTACCCCCCTTAGAAGTAAGTACCGTAATTCGTACCCTGGGTGAATTTTTTGTTCAGTGCCATCAAGGAAAGAAAAAAGAATCTCTCCTGTGATTTCCAGTGTCGCACATGATACAATAGGCTCACATACCGTACTGCTTCAAAGTCAAGTGCTCTTGTCTCGCTTCAAAGTGCACAAAAAGGTATTTTTCGTCACAAACCAAGAGCTGTAGACGTTTCCTCCTTTCATGGTCTTTTCGACGAGAACCAGACCACTGCATTATGGAGGATTTGGGGGAAGGACTTGTCCCTACTTCGTCGAAACACCAGGTGCAATCTCTCGTTGTAGCATTCGAGCAAGGTGAACTTCCTCACTTTGATCCTTTTTATGCTGTTGCCGAGGCGGGAGAAGAAAAAAGTGTAGAAGAAGAAAGGAAAAGCCCAGGAGAAGAACGGAAAACCCCAGAAGATGAAAATAGCAATGCTTTTGACTCCTTATCTGACCTAAGCAACTCCTTGAAACCACGCCCCAACTTTATAGCAACTAGTGACTCTGCAAACACACCAAAATCACGACAGGGTACAATAATAGAAGTATCTCCACGAACACCAAAAGCGACAGGGAAGTCGTGTAGCGACCCTGCTCGAAAGGACCTCGAAAGAAACAATAACAGTTCGCAGGTTCTTAATTCTGGAGACAACAATGATAAAAGTCTTCAAGGGTTGACTAGCCATGAAATTAATTTCGATAATGTCGAAAATAATGTTGACGAAAGTACCAAGGTTCAAATCACAGAGGGAGCTCGTTCTAATGATACCGAAAACAACAGAGACGAAAATCTCGAGGCGTCAGTTACAGAAGAATTCAACGTTGAAACTATTGACAAAAATAATGACAAAAAATTCGAGGTTTCAATCACTGACGAATTCCATTATGATTATATTGAAAAGAATGACTACGGAAATCCTGAGCTGTCAATCACCGATGACTTCAATTTCGATAGTGCTGATGACGAGAATATGGAGATGTCAATTACCGATGACTTCAATTTCTCGACTACTGAAAAGAGCGATGATGAATATTTAGAGGATTTCATTGAAGAAATCAATCAGGAGAATATTGAGATTTCAATAACTGGCGAATTCCTTTTCGATGTGGAAGCTCAAGAACAGTCTTCAATAATTTCATCGCTGCGAGAATCGAGAGATCCTGGAGGTCCGAGCATTTCTTCTTTTAACCCAAGCCTCGAAACTTTTGACAGGGAAGACGATGCAGCACAAAAGTCTGATAGCGAAGAAAGGAAGGTTCTGAAAAGGGGTCTTACAAAGTCGCAATGGGCGAAGTCTGTAGCAGCAGATATTACCTCAACCCCTTCTGCGAACTCGCTAAACAGCGAGATTCGCAGACCCGGATCATCAAAATCTGACGGGAATGATGATATATATAGTGCTACATCAGTACTTAATTTTCGGAAGCTAAAGGCACAACGTAACTCTTTTGTCCGTCGTAATATGAAAGACCCGAGAGAAACTAGCTCGAACGCTTCAAGCCAGCAATCAGTAAGCAGCGAAGGATCAGAAGTTTCAAGTGGTAAAAACAAGCCGCGGACTCGGGAGGAATTGCGAAACAGCCTCCAAAAACAAGTTACAGCGCGCCTTAAAAAGTCAAACGGCGATGAAAATGGGAGTTTTACCGACGATGTAAAGAGATCCATATTAGGAATTGTGAAAGAAGGTAACAGCGATGGAGAAGACGAAGAAAAGGAAAAGGGGGAAGGCGTAGAAGAAGGTTCAGCCACAAGTGAAGATAATAAAGAAAACGAAGGGGATGAAGACGGCGAAGGCGATGAAGAGAAAGGCTGTCTCAAACGGCAATCGGAATGCCTCAAAGATATGAAAGGCAGGGCACTTACACGGCGTGGATACATCAGTTGTATGACCATCTGCATTTTTATGGTTTTGGCTGTGAACATCGTTCTGATCGTTTTTTTGATACGTTGAGCTCCTTTTCGAATTGCATCAAAAGTAGTTGGATTTGAATGGAAGAAACTTCGTAAGAAATAGAGAGAAGTCGAAAAAGTGTGTCGAAGGTTTTGAGATCCGCTCTTCACGCATGTAGATCGAATCCTATGAGTTGAGAATACTCACTATGAATAAGGCTCGGCTTTTTGCTTTTTGTACGTTGTCGAGACGAAAAATTGTAGATAATAATTTTCACTCACGAGATAATATACTCTCCTTCATTGAGCAATCGATCGTTGGGCTGTCACGAATACCCATGTGCTACGAGTTGATTCACTCGTACCGGTACCTAACCGATCGGGATTTTATTGCAGACTTGATTGATAGCAACTCGACCTACAATAAACATAAATCGACCTTCTCCTCAGCACGAATTTACCGTCAAGTGGTTTTCTATTGATTAAAAACTCATACTATTACAATATAAGATATTCATTTTTAATTCCACTGACTGTAATTAATTCGTATTGTCTGAAGGATGATTGAACCTTTACTTCAATGTGTTTTAGTACAGCATGCAGAGAAACGTACATTTTTCCGAAGTAAACAGATCCTTCGCAGAGCAAATTGAAAAGCCGGCACTACAATTGTGTTGTATTCATGATAGAGAGTGACATTACATCTATTGTCTTATGCGATTAATTATGAAGTTACAATTGATGCATGTGACGCAGCGCGAACTAAATGGCGTTTTGTGTTCATCCAAAGCAGTAAGGTTTTGATCAAATTGAGGCATACTGCGCAAATACGTTCAGTTTTGGTTTGCACGTGACATTTGTTTGTAAACATTACATTATATGAACGTCTTTTTCTATCGTGTTTCCTCCCCGTCAAGTTCGTCGATGAAACTCGGATTGACCTCTGTCAGTTCATGTACCAAATAATCATGGTCTTCCTTCTCTATGCTTGCCTTGATTTGTACGAGTTTTGATAAAATGTCAGCTGGCGATCCAGGTGTCAGTTGAGCTTCACCGGATCTCATTGACAACAATGTCGAATCTGTCGTTTCTGGTACTGTGGTTAATGACTTCAGAGATCCACCTTTTGTCAACCACCTCGTAATTCCTTCCACGTGACCAGCTCCCACGATTGCTACAAGGCGATATCGTCGTTGGCTTTTATGATGTACACTGTGTTGTCTCAATAGTTTCCAACAGGTCTGCTGGAGTTTACAAGCCATGTATGCGTCACGTTCTTTTAATACGACCTCTGCGAGAGTAGGAAAATGCTTTGCCAGCTCGGCCACGGACTCTGACATGAGATCGCTATCTCCGTTAAGTATTTTATCCATCCATTCTCGAAGTTCGTCGGGATTTGGTTTTCGTAGCGACGAAATCAGTAACCCAACTAACAATTTTATCTTCCCCCAAACACGTAGGCTTTCCCAACCCCGCGTCAATGTCAACGACACGGGTCGGTCTCCAAGAATCATATGGACATTTTTTTTGCGTTCAACCCTCCGAAAGTTGCCAAAATCGCGTGGAACAGTGTTTTTCCAGTATTGATAGGCGGCAACGAATTCTCCCCCCAGTTCGACCTCCAAAGAGTCGGCAAAGTCTCCCTGCATGTTGGTCAGCAGAGAAGAAGCTATGGAAGACAAGGACCGAGTGTCGACGCGTTTGTTTTCACTTCTTTCACTCTTTTTCCCTCGGCGGAGCATGCCACGCAATTTCGATAGGAACCCCCCATTTTCTTTCAATTCGTTGCTTGATTCCGGTCCCTTCTTCTCTTGTTCCTGCTGTGCGCGGTCCTCCTCGTTTGGTGGTTCCAGCAAATTCAAACGCTGATGACAGAGTTCTAAAAAGATTGCATCTGGTTTCACTGATTCAAGAAGCAGACGAACATCGCGAGAGGAATCTTTCGACACGTGAGCTGTTCCAAGCAAGAACACTTCCACTTCGCAGCTGCTAGGAGGATAGTAGCTTTGTCGGTGATCGTCAGTGGGAATCACGATGCGGCGCAGCGTGTCGGTCTTGTTGTTCAGTGGGAACGGGAGCTGTTGCTTCCAAAATGGGACGTTGTTGACGACATTGCCACGTTGAATCGATGGAACTCCCTTTCCATACGTCGTTGTTGTCACAGTGGCGTTTTTCTTCAGTGCTCCACGTTCCAATTCGTTCTCATTCTGGTCCGTTGCCAACGGCGTCAACGCCGACGGCTGCGAATACGAAGAAAAACTCCCATCGAGGCTGTGGCTCTTTGCAGCGAGGCTGTTGAAGATAAAGACAACACAAACCAAAATGGATAGAGGCCTATTCATGGTAGGTATGGTGATAAGATAGAATCCAGATTTTATTCCCATCGGCAGACACCTTGCAAAAGAGTCGCAGAGGTTTTCGCCCTTTCGAGTCTTCTGTGGTTGTATCTGTAACCGTTGAGCAGCTCAACATTTCCATGTAACCACGCGCGCTTGGTTACTGCGCGGATACAAAAAACTAACACTAACAAACACTAGTTATTTTTTGCTTAAATACACGCACCTCAACAAGTTACAAGYGCGCGGATTGAGTTTTTGTAACCAGAAATTGTAACCAAACCCTTTCCTAAGGAGAGCCCATATTTTCACCACGATAACACTYGTAGTGTGGTTACAAAAAAAAAGGGTCTGGTTACAAAAACAGGCGCACTGGTTCCCTTGTGCGCGCTTGTAACCAGGCGCATGCACCTCAACAGGTACGAACTAAAAACTGTCTTCACTACTGTAAATACGCTCAGTAGTATCAGTACTTGTACATGCTGTATTTTGTACGAGGAGTACTAAAAAATGTAAGCAGTTCCAGTGATACTAAACTYGTCTCGATTGCTATTCCAGTACAAACTCGTGTAGAAAACACCGTAGAAATATTGATTTGCAGGGGGAAACAAGCAAAAAAACAAGCAAAACACCAGCAGGAGGAGAACGCCGTATCGTATCAGCGTCCTCCGTATCAGCAACTCGTATCAGTGTCCTCCGTATCATATCAGCGTCCTCCGTATTATATCAGCGACTCACTCCTCCGTATCGTATCACCAGCGGCTCGCTCCTCCGTATCGTATCAGCGGCTCGCTCCTCCGTATCGTATCAGCGGCTCACTCCTCCATATCGTATCAGTGAGCGTCTTCCGTATCGTATCAGTGAGCGTCCTCCGTATCGTATCAGCGAGGGACAGGGGAGGGAAAAGAGCCCATTACCCTATATTTTGGAGGCAGCAGTGCTGCCTTCGGCACCCCCAGCGCCGCGCAGTAACCAAGCGCCGTGGTTACATGGAAATGTTGAGCTGCTCAACGGTTACGTAAATATCTGTGGAAGAGCTAGCGCAGCACAACAAGTATTATCTTCAGCAACACCAACAACAAGCTCTCGAGCTAAAGCTCTCGAGCTTGTTGGTGGTGTTGCTGAAGATAGTACTTGCAGTAACATCACTTCGATCTCGAGCTAAAGCTCTCGATCTCAGTAATGTCACTGGTGTAACCAAATTGTAACCAGAATTTTGTACCTTGTGGAGTCCGTGTTATTATTACGGGAAAATTTTTGTACCATGCGCTCTCGAGCTAAAGCTCTCGAGCGCATGGTACAAAAATTTTCCCGTGATAATAACACGGACTCCACAAGGTACAAAATTCTGGTTACAATTTGGTTACACGCGCTGCGTGAGCTCCTCCACAGATACTATACATACCRAACAAGCACAAGTAACCAGTACGTACGTACCATCAGATCGTGATCATCATCCATCATYTCGTACGGGGACGTACGGTACGAGTTTAACTTGAGTAAAATTACACCTAGAAATTAACGCAGGAATTTTGGCCCACTACTACTACTGTAACTTCTGCATACTAGTTCTAAGCCGCCAGAGCATCCTTAAGCATCCCAATGACCTGGATCACTAAGTAATTGTATTATCTTGGTCTGGGCGCTTAGTCTGGTGCTCTAAAGTTGTTTTTTGATAGAGTTCTGGCCTATTTTCTAACTAGCAGCAGGCGCTCTTGTAAACCGGCCAATTTTGGCCATACCGTGTGTTAGTGGAGAATCACCCCCCCCCTGGCCCCTAATCGTGTAACAATGACACATGGGGCTATTCCCAACACTATAAGGAAGCACATCCCCAAAGAATAGCTGCTCTCAGGCAATACCGGAGCAGTTCTAAATGTCCTATTACACTGTTTGTGGTCAGAAAGTGACCAAAAACTGGTAGATCTATGTAGGATCAGTACTAAAATACGGTGCCCAAAATTAACCGTGATGCTACTAGTAATAATTTTTGGTGTTTGAATAGAATGCCTTTCTGCCCTGTAGGACGTGGTAGGGTTCATACGGTTAACGCATTTTACTCCGATTAAACTCGTACGGTACAGTACTACTAGTTCCAGTGACTTGATGTCATTAGTAAGAGAAAAAGGAAAAAAGAATACATGAAGTACCAGTACGAGTTCAAAACTGGTAGAAAATCTACACGGCTCTACAAGAAGGGTATAATATAGTACAAAGTACTATTTTCAACAAAAATAGAAAGCTGTTCCTTGGTTCCATGCAGAACCAAATTAACACTAATCAGGTCTTTCTGCCAGTGGAAGTTGAAATGTACCTAGTTTATTACTACTACTAGTAAAATAAGGGGCGTCTCATTCCCTTGTTAGTAACTTTATATTTTCTCCAAGAAACAGCAGCCCTTCATTTTGTWCTACTAGTAGTAGTAGCTAGTACTAGTACTACTACTAGTAGTATGCTGGTCTACATTAAAAAGAACTTGTTACCAGATTTTTAACATTTTCACACCCTCAGACTCCCTTTTCCGTCAACTATTCCAGTAAAAAAAACTACTCTAGTGTTTTTTCTTTTCGTCTTCCACAATTGGGTTATTCCTGAAAACCCAGAAGCCTAGTAGATTGTGTGTCATAAAATATCTAGTATTAGTACTACTACTATGAGTCCAAGAATTGTACCCAGATGTTTGAAGCCCCCCCCCCTTCCAGATTCCAAAAGCACTACTTGTGGTAGACACCAATCTAGGCCCCCAAATTTTGATTCCCATAAACCAGCACGAGGAACAAGAAGCCTAAACTATAAGTAGTACTAGGAGGTTCTACTAGGCTTCTGAGTTTGGGGATGACCCATTTCGTGAGGAGTTGCTCCTGATACCTATCATATAGAGTTGGCTACCAAATGTACAAACCAGTCGTACATTTTGGGCCCTTATTTTGCGTACTTTGACTAAAAAATTAAATGCATACAAAATGCATGTGCTAAGTAGTGTTGAATGTTTTAATTCCACCAGTTGTGCAACCAAATAGTTTTGCAAGCACATGCTACTATTGCTGTACCAGTAGTACAATTCAATTTTTAATCCCGCGAGTCATTGCCCAAAATCAACACACAGTACAAAAAAAAATGTAGGGCATTAAGTGACAGTCAACTCACTCGAACAGCTATAATTTTGTCCCCAACAGAGGAAACTTA